ATTAGAAAGTAATTCGGGTGTCGTTTGGATGTTAGGTGTTTTGCTACTGTATACATCAGTAGTGACCCAGATTATTTTTTAGATTAGTGATCTGAAAGAATGACTTCAAATACAAACATTAATTCCTATCATAAATTTCTTTCCATCAATGTATAGCTTGCAATAATTACATCAAATAATATCACTTCCTCTGAGTAATAGTCAATAGCATTAAATTTATCTTCATTTCTTCTTTGCTGTGGCAGAGAATGAGAAAGCAAAAACTTTTCTTCAACTTCATCGCAAACTAGCTATTTTATTACTTTAAAAAGTGAAAAGTAAATATCATGTTTATTTTCAATACACTGAAAAGCAAACAAATTACTTATTTTTAATTTCATTTATTGCTGTCATTTCAGTATTATCTTACATACTGTCAGTTCTTTTAAATATTGAATTATTTGATGCTTGTTTATTGATTCAGCAGCAGCAAATGTGCAGCTGTCAAACAAGGCTGTAATGGTAAAATTTGTAAATACTTTGCATGGGCTATGGATTGCATTTAGGCCATTCAGAAGCTAAAGAAAAATTCATGTTTCTATTATTTTGAATTTGTTGCTGTTAATGATACAACCGCTAAACTTCTATTAACAGACACTGCCATTAATGGACAGTTCCTGAATTCCCAGATCACTGAAGAAGGATACTAGTGCATTTCCTAATGGAACAAAAAAAAAAAAAAAAAAAAAAAAATCTGCGGAATATTATTTAAAAAAAGAAAGTGCTTATGGCTTTCAAGTAATTTTACTATGTTCCAGACAAAACCCCTAAAAAATTAAATAAATGGAAATTATAAGATGAAAGCATATTAAGGAGGGTATTTCTGGAATTTGTAGCAAAGCCAGTTGATTCTGCTCAGTTTACTTTTTAGAAAAAAACTTACCATGAAGGAAATTGGATGTTTCTTGAGATTCAATGTATCTAACTATAGTTCGACTTTGTCAGCTGTGACAATGAGCGCAATCATGCATGAGCCATTTGGACCCATTTATTATCAAAATAGGGTGGATGGACACAAATTGTGTAGTAGGAATTTTTCCCGTTCTTATTTTTTCTATTTCTTTCCAAGGCATTCAAAGATGACAGACAATTACGTTGAAGTTATCTAAGCTAATACACTGATCATCATTTATAATTAGCTGTTTTATTACATTGTGTATGTATAACTGTGTGTTATATATTCATAAAAATACTGGTGTTTTCCAAATTAGTTTTGCTATGTATACATTATTTTATAATAAAATGTAATACATAAATTTTATTGTATTGTAACTATTTAGTTATTGTATTTTATTATGTGATTTTCATTATTATATTATTATTACAATGAATTTTAAATAATTTACTTATTATCTGTTTTCTCTTTGAGCTAAAATTTATGTGTGTCATTATACACTGAAGAAACATTTCTTAGTAGTTATATGAATTGAGCAGTGATAAATAAGTATTGTATCTCTTTCATTTTTGTGCTAAAATCTATATGCAGTATTATACGTGCTGGGGTAAAAAATGAAATTTCTTTTCTTATTATTTGTGTATCACAGTCACTACACATATCCAAGTTGTCATCCTCTTCATCAGAAGAAATAATTTTAAAGACTCGCATAAATCTTCCAATAAACTCTAGCAGTTAGTAATTTTTACATGGGTGCAGTATTTCTTCCAGTTTTCTGTCATTATACTTTCATGAGCTGCTTCTGTAATTTTTAATTTATTCATTTTCATATCTCCAGCTGTGTTGCAGTTCTGTACAATTTGCTTTATTTCACCCCAAAGTGAATTCAGTTACACAGATGTCGCAGTGGTATGGGTGTAGAGCCATAAAACTATGTTCTTCACATTTTAAATAAAATTTATATTACTTTTAGTATTCATAATCTCCATGAACTCGACTTTTCGTAAATTTGGAGATAACTGTGCCTTTTCTTAAGTAACCACTGCATAATTTCTTCTCTTTGACTTGCCATAGTTCGCCATTTATTTTATTGGACAGTGGTTGGAGGCATTGTCTAAAATCACTACAGCATTTCTTGGAAGATTTGGAATAAATTTTTCAGAAGTCCACGTTTCAAAAAGTCTCCCAATGTGGTATTTGCTTTGTATGCTAGAGGCATACGAGGCGAAAATTCCATATCGCTCCCTGCACATAAAACAATGTCTTTTACACACACACACTGCCATTCTGCATGACACTAAAAACAGTTTTCGGTGCCAGCATTTTGAGAATATCATGTTGCTCTCCACCCAAGTTTTGTCCAAATAAATGAATGAATTCTTTTCACGATGAAATTGTCTCACTTTTCTACTGTGTTCTTCTTAACATAGTATTGCTTCTTTCAATTAAAACTTTGTTTTGGCTTTTTGACTGTACAAATCCAGTACTATGCAGTGCATTTCCTAATGTTTCTTATTTCCATTTAAAATCTACTTTTTCTTGCAATACAGGGTCTGATTTTGAAAGCAATCAAATTATTTTCTTTTTAGTATAAAATGAATGAACAGTTCTTCAAATAATGCTTCATTCAAAAACATCTAAACCAATATTTAACTTCCTTTTTTGCCTTCTCCCCGTAAGTTCTCCATTCTCAGCTTCCATGTCACAAAATGTACTGACATGTAGCAATTTCTTAGCACCACTGTGAAATGCCTTGTTTTACTAACTGAACTCCTTTTTAATGATGAAAACAAGTTATCTTTAAAATTTATTCAAAAGAACTCTGTTTTATCAAATGTCATGTTAAAGTCAGCTACGACCTAGGTAAATCCTGCGCAAATGAGGCAGAAACCTATTGAGCAGTTCCCCCCCCCCTACAAAATACTTTACGTAAAGAATATAGTTCTATGAAAGGTGAACAATGAAATCAGTGGCGTAGCTGGAGGGTGCAAGGGAGAACATTTGTCCTTGGGCGCAGCCTCTAGGAGACACCAAATTGCTGTTACAAAGTTTTAGAATTACATGTTTTTCGTTCTTCAGGAGTTGTCCAGTTCTTTCACAAAATCTTTAGTTATCCATGGCCACTGAAAACACTAGCTACGTCTCTGATGAAATCCGCATTGTTCATATAAAATTCTTAAATTATGGAGAAAAAAAAAATTCAACAGTATTGTTTTTTGGGTTGGAAACCAATGCAAATATTAGCATTTATTTTATGAAAATATTTAAAAAATAAATAAATATATAAATTACCAAGGGTGTGAAAGAAAATTGACAAGAGTATCACTTAGTGACATGGGAACGTTCCTTCCCTCCACTCACTTGTACAAATCCCCTCTTTCCAAAGAAAGAGCAAAAAAGGCAAAAAGCAAAAAGAGGACTTCTTTCCAGCAAAAAGAGGACTTCCACGTGACTTCTCACCTCGTGGCATGTAATTAATGCCCCTTTTGGACAACTCTATGTTTTTTGGCAGAATGTCAGCCAAAGTTTCATTTGAGATTGTCGAACAATATTTAAGATTGGTGTAATATTTCTAATAATTTAAAAAATCTTCCACAGTGCCATCCCTTTCCTCAGACAGGTAACCCTAATTTGCTTTGCCATAAGCCAGCTGTTTCGGTCCTATATTTAACAAAAGAAAAACATTAATTTTAGCATGTTCATATTTCTAATGTTAAAAACTGAAAAAAATGCTGTACTGCTGTATATATCATTCATATAACATCATAGCTTTTTACCTATTTTTGTCTTACATAGTTGAATGATTGTGTTATTTCGGCCATTATTCAGTTTTATTTTCGTACTGCTGGTATATGAAAAGTATCATACAAAGCTCAACTCTGCTTCATTGATGAGTTGGGTATGCAATTTGGCAACGGAAGATAAAATGAGTAGCGAAAAGAAAAGAGTAGATGTTTTGCCTCAAGAAAGTGAACATCATGTTTTGAAGACTAAAAAATGAAATTGGTAGTTTGAGACTCATTGAGAAATCTGTCCTTCATAAATTTTAAGGAATGAGAAATATGTGCATTGTGAAATGCTTCTTTAACATCTGTGGTAAATGTGTGCTTAATGTGCATTAATGGCTACACATTTGAAAAGATTGAGAAATTTAAATACATTGGCACTATAACTGGTGACAAAAATAAGTTAAGAACAGGAATTAATAATAGAATTAAAATGCTTGTTTGGGCTAAGAAGACAATTAAGTTCTAATCTTACAAATTGAAAAATAAAATTATGAATATATAAGACACTAAACTACCTGTTTCAATTTATGCAAGTGAAACATGGACTTTAAATAAAGACATACAATACTCAATTGACATATTTGAGAGAAAAGTCCTCAGAGCAATTTCTGACCCAATACAGGAAGAGGGACATTGGAGAGCAAAATATAATTTTGAACTGCACTTGCTTCATAGGCAACCACAAATAGCACAAGTCATCCAATAGATAAAGATGGCTGGGCCATGTTTGGAGAAACTCGAAAGATAGTCTCACTAAGATCTTGACATCCAGACAACCTGAGGGATCCCGAGCTAAAGGAAGACCACCGACTAGATGGTTAGATGGCACTAAAAAAGTCTTAAAAACTTTGAAAATTAAAAATTGGAGAGGAGTCGCTGCAGTCAGAAGATGCTAGAAGCGTGTGATTGAGGCAGTCAAGGTTTGTAAGGTATTGTTGCGTTTGTGAAGAGAGGAATGTTTCTTTAAATAATTAGTAAATAAAATGTAATTGTTCTGTTGTTGAAAAGAATTGAATCAAGCCACACATACCATACTAACAAGCTGGTAAAACCTCTTTATAATAAGGATTCAACAATATTGTCTCCTGCATTAAAATAAAAATGTGATGAGTTTTTTGGGTTATCTTTTATGATATTGCATTGGTAATGGAACTTGTTGTATATTACAATAATTGTAAGCTGAATAAATTTTTCTGTTTTATTAGCTTATGATTTACTTGTAAATTGAGATTCTGTAAAGTATTTATCATTTTGTTTTAGTAATTTTTCTTTTTCAGACACCATACTGGGCTGCTCCAGAATTTTAAAGAAAATATGATTCATTGGACATATTTTGTAAACCATTCAAGTGAAATACAGAACAATTTTTTATATAAATATTGTTTTCATTCTTTTACAATTCAGACATAGAATTTTATTAAATTGCTACAGATAAAAAACTACTTTATGTGGTGTCCAAAGTCATAGAAGCTGATGAAAAGATAAATCTTTTCATCAGCTTCTATTTTATTTCTATTTCATCAGCTTCTATTCTATTCTATTCTATTTGTGTCCACATAAATGTGGACACAAATTTTAAGCTAAATGCAGAGTAGCAGAATTCCTCATATTGTAATTATTATCTTCTGCAGTTCTCAGTTATTCAAAATTTATTTTTATTGCATCTAATATTATCTGACAATTATTTAATTATAGGTATTTTTTATAAGTTTTTACAATTATTTAAAATTTTATGTAAAAAATATCTGTATTTTTGCAGTATTGGTGAAAATATACATGTGAGAAAGGTAATAAAATTTAATTTTTATATTCATAACAGAAAAAGAGGAAACTTTGTTTTATTACAGATTTAATGAAACGCTTTTTATAAATGTATACTTTTTGTAACTACAATGGAACAAAATTTAATTTGGTTCTAAAAATCAATATTCTTTTCTTTAATTTTAGTGCAGTTAGCTCATTTTTATAATTTCAATTAAAATAAAATAGTAATAATAATTGATTAAATGAAATAGCTGAAATTATAATTGTAGACAGTTTCAAACTGCTTCTTCTTTAATTTAGTCTTACTAACAGTTAAATAGTTTCATTGTGTATTTATTTCCAGAATTGGGTTGTATTAGCTAAGCTTTAACCCACATTTCCATTTTCTTCATATATAATGTAAATGTAAGGTTTCTATTAGGAAGTCCTCTATGCAAACACCCCTGGTATCTCAGATATTATGTAAAGTTTTTATGTTAAAACTTGTTTTGAATTTTTTAATGGAATAACGTAATATTTATGTGAATTATGGGGCATAAAATGTACTCAGCATTCTTTTACGGATTCATATCTTTCTGAAAAATTTTCACTCGAGAAAATGCATGATTTAATTCAGTTCATAAATAATAATTAAGAAATTGAAATTTGTTACATGTTGAAGAAAATTTGAATTGAATGCCAAATCAGTATGTGCATTAGAGCATGTGTGAAAAATTAACCAATAATCAAGTTTATAGACTACTTCTGATATAGAGAAATTCCTTGAAGATACATATATTTAACTAAAGCATCAGCCATCTTTATGGTAGCTATACAAAATCAAGTCTAGATTTTAATCATAGAACAATTTTTTGTCTCTGATCACATAGACATACAATGCAGAGCTGTTAAAACTTCAGTAGTTACACCAATGGATATCAACTCAATTATAACTTAAAAGATAAACCAGTTATAATGTATGTTTACTGGTTTTGTAAATCATTTGGATTATTAATACTTATATGTGATGGAACATTATCTGCACTGTTGCATAAGACCAGCATTCCATTCTTATGATGCACTCATCTATTAAGGGCTATGGTATACATCAGTTTAAGATTTGGAAAAAGCAACCATGGGACAAGGTGCTAGCACATATTGTCAGACATCCTAAGCAACAATTAAATCACATTATCATTGGTATGCTTATAATGTCACTTTTGCTTATGTAAAATACTTGTCAAACCTTTAAATTAGCTTTAAATAGTAGTACCAGAACACTGAATGAATACAACAAAAATAAAAGCAACTAAGTTTGTAGTTATCTAATGGAAATAATAAATAGCTGTAAATAGTTATTTACAGTGCTATTGTTAAATCATATCCTAGCATCTGGCTTGGTTTATATCATGAACTACTACAGTCAAAAGTCGTTAATTCAGACACCCATAATCCGGAATGATCTATAATCCGGACCTCAAAGCTAAAAACTTTCTGCACATGCGCCGCGTTGACACATGCGCATAGGCGTTTACGCGTGCGTGTAAGACCTTTACGACTGCGCATTTGCGTGTGCGCGTTTAATGTATAATGGACAGTATAGGCTAAAATTATCTATTTCAGTTGATGCTGATGATTGCGTTGTTCCTTAATCTTCGAATTGGATCCAGCTTATTATTTTTTGCAGACTGTAAGAGCAATTTTATAAAAGTAAACTTAAACTTTCGATTATGTCAAATAGAATTTCCGATGCTGGAGCTCCCAAAGGATCTACAAAACGAAAGTATGTTTCGATGTCCATCAAACAAAAAGTGGAATTGCTGCAAAAAAATGGATAAAGACATGAAGAAGGTGACAGAGAGGTTAGTGAAAACGAAAAAATTTCGATTGACAAGTTAGTCGGTATTCTCAGCACAGCAATTACGGGACTTGAACAGCGGAATTTTATAACTGAACAAGAAATATTAGAGAGAAAGTATTATCACATAAAACGAAGCAACTTAAACAACTTACATTGAAAGAAATGTTTAATACAGTAAACAAATAAATATTAAGCTTTTTTTTTTTTTTTTTTTTTTTTTTTTTTTCTGTAAGTTTTGATACCCTTTAGATCATAATTGTTCTTTATTTCATAAATTACGGTTTCATATTTTTAATTTTATAATTTCTGCATGCCATCTTACCAGATTTTAACTGATGATCTATAATCCAGAAAAATTTATAATCCGGAATCGCCGAAGTCCCGACAAGTCCGGATTAATGACTTTTGACTGTACTAAGTATTCAGAGCAAAGGGGAATTTACCAACTGGAAGAAATATTGCTTACATCGGACATTAACAGAGCAATTTCTGTGCAATTGGCTAGAGTTGCCAATTTTCATTACTTTTTTTAACTTAGGTTCTTACTCCTGTTGTGAAGCTCCTTTCATTTTATATTTTAGTAGAGTAGATTTTTAAATAAGCATGTTAATTAAAATGAACTTTATGCATTGCTTGCTAGCTCATCAGCTCAGTTAGCTGATGGAATCATTATATTTAAGATCCCGTTTAAATCAGTGAAAGCTTTTTCATGCTTTGTGAGACAAGGGACAGTACCATCATAACAGAATAATGGACCCTGGAGCTTTTGTAGTTTTCTTGAGCCCTTATGTATATTGCTTCCTGAAGAATAATAAAATTGTCAAAATATGGACCCCCTGGTAGCATCTATTCATTAAGACATCATTGACAACAAATAAAAATTTACTCTGCAGTCAGATAGTGTAATTACTTCCAGAAAACCTTTTGGAATGTTTGCTTTGGAGTATGATTAGATTTCTAAGCATGTAAAACATTAAATTGTTTGTTAAAAGAGGTAACTTAGAAGATGAAAGTACTGACTTTTCTTATCTTGAAATGGTTTGAAGTTACCTACTTAAAGAAATGTGCTTTAAAAAATCTGGTGTGAACACCATAAGACTTGTACGGCCGGTTAAATCATGCACATTTTTTGTTGCATTTTATTTAAATTTATTTCAGTGAATTTCATTAGAGATATATTTCTAATTCAATCAATTCAGTTCTCACTTTGCGTCATAGGAAAAATACATAAAAACTGAAAACATCTCCATTAAAAATTGTAAAATACAGAAACTAAAACATAAAATAGAGTTAAAAGCTGTTAAAAAATTTACAATTGAAATTAAGAGTTTAAATTTATTAAAATTAGGCAGAAAGATTTTTTGGTGCACGAAACTTTTGACCCCACTCAGCTAAAACACATTGAAGTTGGTGCAGCAATTAATTTAATTCACTAAAAATGCTACTGTTTCAAATGTAAAGAAATGGTGGCGTGTTAGGCTTAGTGGACTAAAACAACTTTTAAATTGTTGATCAATTCTACAACTATTGCATGCAAAATAACTAAAATCATAAAAACATTAACCAAAACAGAACAATATAATTCAGTCACTTTTAAAGCAAAAAATGCACAATTTACCAACATATAAGACCTAAAAAAATCTTAGCTCATCGAGGCGGGTAACAAAGTGGGTATATTATACACTTTTGGAGCCAAAAAGGGAGATGCAAATCTACATGTTATAGCAGTCCCATATACAAAATTTCAACGTTCTGAGGCTTTCAGTGTTTTTGAGTTGTGCGAGATACATACAGACATCATGAAAAAATCTCTTCTGAATCCATTTTAAATCAATTTCACAATTCGTTTTGGGAAAAAGAGTCCTCTATTCTGTCCTTACATACAGATGTAATGCAAAAACATCGTTCAAATGCAATAGAGAGTGGTCAAAATGGATATTTTCATTGAAATACGATATCCAAAATTTTTTGCGGTTACGATATGTCCTTTTACAATATATGCAACTAAAATGTGGATGAGGCAATGTAAAAAATTGGAAACTGCTGCTCTGAAATACTGATTTCTGCAACATGCTGTGTTTTTAGAAAGTTATAAGAGTACTAATTAAATGATATAGTAAATTATAAATTACATTTCATAGCATTAAAAAATATGCAATTTTTATTACTTAAATAAACAATGTATACATGTATTTAGTTTTAAAAAATTATAAAATATTCTGGACACCTCAACATTAAAAAATATGCAATTTTTATTACTTAATAAATCTTTAAATCAAAAATTTATGCATTCATTTATTTAAAAATATCTGGATATCTTAACATTAAAAAATATGCAGTTTTTATTACTTAAATAAACCACAATTTATGCATTTATTTATTTTTAAAAAATTATACATGGAAAATGAATGCAAAATGCTACAAACATGTATTTCTGAAGAGCCATGATTATTGCCCCCACCTTTTTTTTTTTAATTGGAAGAAACTAATATCTCTCAAATAATATTAATTTAATTTTTCAGAATTAAAATCAAAACTTTTCTAAAAGAATTTTAGATTCATTATGCCAACACCCTGCTAAAATATATTCTTGATTGATGTTTATTTTAACAGTTTTCAAAATTGAATTTCAATAAATGAATGTTTTGCATGTGAAATTGTAAGTGATCAACATCAAATGCAATTAAAATAGTAATGAACAAATGATGGCTTTAATTTTTACTTACTTTACTCTGTTTCAAAGAACTTTTATACATCTTATTCATTAGGAATAGAATTGATTCTAGTATTTATTTAACCCTTTCGGGTACATTACTTTTACATATTAATCCATATAGCGACAATCTGTCCCATGGGCATAAAAATCTTCATATAATTCAGTACTCAAAAGGTTAATTGTGCTACATCTAATTTCATATATGTGGACATTGTAGGATTTTCCAGTAAACTTTGTCAAAAAAGCAAGATTATCATGCATTTGTAGAGTCAAATTGCATAATAATTACAATCTAGAAGTTATATACAAAAATATTTTTGCTTTGGAGTGCATTAATAACCACGGACCGATTTACAAAAAAATTGGAGGCTCAAGGCAAAGCCACTTGTGAAAGGCTTTCTTTTCTATTCTGATACTTTTCAGTGTAGTGGATATAACTTATGAATGAATGAATTGTTTCGTGAAATAATCGGGGTTTGAAAAATATTATTCGCTAATGACTGT